GCGTGCCCGGCCCGGGGCGGCGGGAAGGTTGTCAGGTGCTGCCTGAAATTCTGAATTCAAGAAAATTCTATAGTTTTCTAAACTTGCAAATCTGTTCTTTCTATGTAAATTACGCTTTGGGGTTTCTTAGATCATGTTGCCTTGGGAAATGAAGAGTGGAATCCATGGGAAGGGGACGAGAAAAATGAACTGGTTGCTTCTCAGCAGAGATACGAAGCTAATCTTAAGATGATAAAAAATGCAAGATCTCACCTAGAACAAACCAGTCTTAGAGTACAGATTTGGGGCAAAGCAGCAATTGGTAAGCAGATGTAATCAATGCCTATTAATCATTTAACCTTTCTGATATAGCACTTTTCTCTGCTTTTTTTTAATAACTGAAATTTATGTGTATGATTAAATAATATGGATATCTGTACATGAAGAGCATTAAGGAAGTGGTAGCTGTTACTCAAAATTATGTTAATACCAATATAAGAGTAGTTAGACTCCAATTTCTTTGTATCAGTTCTTTTCAAGGCCGTTTTTCACATCTGTTGAAGAAAATCGTTAAAATGGCAGAGAAACACAGTTATTTTTGAATCCAATCTAGCTTACAGTACAACACAAGGACAGGTGTCTTAGTCGGCTATAACAGAATATTTATTTTTGTCACATTTACACTTCCTGAAATAAAGGATCGCACAGTGAGAAATAAGGCATTTTCTGTACTGCAGTACTACTGCCTCTGATGAACTTGGAAATTCTTCAGTTGTAGAAGACACCAAGTCTCTGCATAAACTGGGGGCCAAGGTCCTCTCTCAAGCTCTTCAACTACTGCTGAAGACATATCATTGTTCATATTTTAGCTTTTTTGAAAATGTAAAATTTCCAGCTCCAGTTGAATTTTCATGCGTAAAAATTTCCAGCTCCAGTTGAATTTTCATGTAGCATTGTAGAACACATTGGTATATTACATGGTGATGCATTCTATCACAAAAATTTGATGTGTTTCACAAAAGCTTAAGAGAACTATGCCTGTCGTTAAAATGCTGATTAATATTTGCTCATTTTTAAGTGGTAGGTGTACCAGAAAGAGATGCTGACATACGTGGTAGTGTGGTATATCTTCATCTACTGATATTTTGACAGCCAAAGAATCTTTTTAAATGCCCCGATGTGTGAAAAATTCATCTTAACTAATTCCAAGTCATATGGAATTTGGGAAACAATGTCCATATTGTATAGGAAGCTCTGACTTTTTTTCCCCCAAGTTCTTATGTTGTTATGCTTTTTCATTTCCCAGAAATACTTTATTTGCTGGGATTGTAGGGTAGGCAATATCCGTGCATTCAAATTCTCCATCATATCTTCATTTATGTAGGTCTTTACCTTTGGCAACATATTTTTGGAGGGCACCTTCAGCCAGCTGATGTGACTGCACAGTGGAGAGAAGGAAGCCAAAAAGTAGGAAAAACGTATTTCAGGTACTAGCTGCATGATGTTGATTCAATTGTGTTAACTTGAAGAAATGATGCATTGGAAAGTTAAAGAAAATTATAAGATGCACAGGTGCATTATTTTGTCTATCTCAGAGTTGCAGTTATTTTAATATCAGTTGCAAATACTTTAATTTTGTTATGTTTTGATAACTGAGGAACACGCACACAACTTCTCATTCAAAATTATCATAAGGAACAGTTACATTTATTCATGGAAACACTTATTGATAAAACCAGCAAATTCTAGCCAAAACATGTTGCTATTAGAAAATAGAAAACTAGGGAGCAATTTCATTTGCTGTTTTATGAAGATCTGTTTATTTGAAAGAAATGTGGAAAGACTTACAAATGCTGAGAGGGAAGGCAGCCAAGAGACCTCAGGAGGAGAGGAAATACAACCCTGAGAAAAGTCTAAGAACTGGGGTTTGGGGCTGACAGCTGACTGAAAGAAGCTTGGGGTTGTGAGGCAAGAAGATGTCTCCGGCTATTTGGTTTCTGTTGTATTCAGGGAAAACAGACTTCACTCCTTCCTTCATAAATGGGTTTGTATCAAAACCATAATTTGTTTCTATTTTAACAAAAACAATCTGTGAGACCTAGCATCTGGTTAACTACTTCATTTGCAAAGCAAAATTTCGTATGTAAAGGAAGATGACGCTTGAAGCATTGTTTGCTTTAAAAATGGATTTTGATCTGTGATCATGCATGTTTTAAAACTGTTGTCAAATGTTTTATATTATTTAGTGAATGATACAGAACTTTTCTCTAAGGTCCTATTTAATACCATTTTTAAGGCTTTCTGTAAAAATACAGTGAAAGCTGAAGGATTTTTCATCTATTTGGCCAGTTTGCCAGTCTGCAGTAGTAGCTCTCCTACAACATTTAGTCACTTGCACCAGGACCCATCTGTTAAAAAAGTTTTCTTTAAAAGCATAAATGACACACTTAAGTGACTTTAACTTCCGAAAAATGTGTTGCTTCAGAAAGGTGTTTTTTCCTCACACAATAAGACAGGGGGTTCTAGTTGAAATTTGCACATAATGTTTGAAGTAAATATGTGATTGTGAACTGAAAGGGGTTTTTTAAGTGATCACAAAACTTTTTTATCACTTTGAATTGTTTATCAATGTATCTGACTGTGTACATGGTACAGGCCATAGAATCTTTTCAGTAATGCCTACATCACATTCGTAAGTGATCAAAAAATGTTTTCTAGAAAGACACGTAGGCTTGATTTAAACATAGCAATTATTAAAGAGTCTGTCTTACATCTAAGGAAATAGACGAAATGACATACTCTTTAGAAAAAAAAGCTGTATTCCTTGTCTGCAAATATAACCTGATCCTGCAAGATTAGGGAATCAAGTATGAATGATGCTACTGCATCTTGGTAGTCTCCTTGACAGAGCAATAGAACTTTCCATTCACGGATTTGGAGAAGGGATACAATACTTTCTTTGAACAGGGAGCAGTGCCTGTAGTGTTATCTCAGTGGGAAGAGACTTTCTTGTTTCTGGAATTAAAATCTTGGAAGCTATAGAAATCAATGACACTCAAACAGATAGCTTGTCTTCTTGGTATGGACATGAGGGTTATTTTCAAGCCCTTGCTTTTCATATTTATAATACGAAAATAATTTGCTGCACTTAATGAGTCTGTCACTTGACTGATTATGGTTATTTTCTCTCTGGTGTGCCTGTTTCAGATGAATAATAACCTCACATGGTTCCTTAGGGTATGCATCTCTCAAAGACAGACTTCTATACTAGCATTTAAATATCTTCTTGTTATGTTTAGAGGAACCAGGGATAACAGAGTCTTTATTTTAACCAACTTGGATGCTAGATCCTATAAAAATATAAAGTTTAAGCTTGGTACCAACACAACAGAGGTTAAAATTCGACAGGCTAGTAGGAACTTCTGCAAAGTATAGAAAATATGCAAATATAACTGTAATTTTAATGATTAGGTTTCTGAAATGAAATAGCTGAAGTTCTACTTTTTAGTCAAATGGGAAATGTTATTTTGTATTTTTTTGTGAGGAAGAATTACTACATGATCTTGGCTGCTCGCTGGTTATAAGATTTTCTAGAATTGTTGACTTCTTTATTGCCTGGCTGAGGTAAATTATCTCCATTTGATTACTAGATGAGGCTAGAGTGAACTAGCTGGGGTGACATATTTGGAGAATATGTGCTCCTGTGCAGTTTTTTGTGGTAAGTCTAATGATTGTTAAAACATAGAGCTCTCATGAATATTTTTAAAGAATATCAAATGTAAAGACACAAAAATGCGAAAATACCACTTGAACACAGTTGCATGACTAAGCCCATTTCCTATATTTATGATGGAGAATACACGTATTTAATATAGGTTTTGATGACGGCTTGAAGTTTTTACCAAAGAAGTTGCCTGAAGAACACTAAAAGTATCAACTTCTACATGAAATGCAGGGACATTTATTTAAAAACACGGGTGGAGAAGGAACTGCATAGCTGTAGATTTTAGTGACACGTTGTCACGTTCATACAAGAAGTAGGAGAGTCGGGTTTAGCACTTTCCTTGGCCTGAAGCAATTCACATCCTTCTCTCCTGTCATCTGGGAGGATGTTGTAGAGCAGTGTTAAAGGGTGAGCGAGTCTTGCTGATCACTCCTTGGCTCTCCAGTCAACGAATCAGCTTATGGATGGGAATCAGGGAGTCTCAGTTGGTGCGATATTGTCGCCGGTGTACCATTGTGGTAGCCATCGGCACCTGTTTTTCTTCAACCCTCAGCAACCCCACAACAGAAGGGTCCTCCGAGAGACCAGGCAAGGTAGACAGCTGTTTAATTTCCTCCATCTCCAAGGGAGGGCAGGGCCCCTCTAGTCCTGGTCACAGTATTCATTTCTCACTTCTTGTAAATACAAGTCAGAAGTCTCTTCATTAAGATCAGAAGTAAGATCAGCCCTTCTACTCTGTCTGGGGAACTGCCCACTGGAAACTTTTTCAGTTTCCAGCAGCAATTTTTCTGGAAGAACCCCCTTTTGTGATTGTTTTTCCTTGCAACTCATGTACCCATGCCTTCAGGGCTGAGGTAGATTTTCCATCCCACTTCCTCATGTCCTCTCCGTGGTCACACAGGTAAAACCATATGGTGCCCCATGGTGTGTACCCTTTATATCCTCTCTTTTGAGCAAAAGAATGCTGACTCCTAATGGCTGAGATA